AACATAGACAAGTGCATCTTCCCCACTAAAATGTCTGAGCTCTGTGAGAACAGGGACTGCATCTGTTCTAACTGCAGTATCCTCAAACAAGTGCCTTCCCAGAGTGGGTGTGCAATAAATACTGGCTGAATGAAGAAGATAGCTCAGCTCGTGATGGGTATTTAAATATCACTCGACCCAAAGTAAATTCATTAAACTTTCAAAAACAGCTTTATTGAGGTATACTTAACATACTATAAAACTAACCCATGGACACTAGTTTTATGTTGTTCAGGCAAGTATTTGGAAGCAGAGGTAAGATATCAGTGTAAGCAGCTTGGAGGTACCCTGTTCTTTCTAGAAATCTACAATTTACTGAGAAGATTATTTGTTAGGGCTTGGAACCAGAAGAGCCTTAAGACCTGACTCTGTGTGCATGTGTGCTGTTGACAGTTACAAGCATCTTTATTTCACAGCTGCACCAACACATTTTCTTAATGTTCTCACCTATTGGTGGGAATAAGACATTCATGTGCCTCCAAAACGTATGGTGCTTTTTCTAAAACACTGTACTTGAAGACTATAATCAAGTTATGTCTAAGTTACAGAGCACCTATCTGGACTGCTTTATTATGCTGGTAGATAAAAAGTATTTCATGTTTTGACACTAGAAAGCACTGAGATATGAGGAGGCATTTTTCTATCACTGAAGCACCTGTTGGATAGCTACCTGCTCCTTTGGTACCTCTACTCCTCTGTATCCCTGGGGAAGGCAGTGAAAATTAATGCTTCAGTTACAGACACACAGCATGACAGCTAAGGAGATTTGACTGGTGGATCTAAAGTTATTGCTAGGCTTTTCTATGATTTTTCCCATTCCCTCTCAAGGGAGAGGAGGTGAAGAAATAGAGGGAAAGTAGAAGAAAGCTTTCACATGAACAGATCTGCTTTTTAAAATAAAAAGGACAAACTCTACTACATCCTCTGACTATAGTCTAATCTGCCAGATTACAATGTGTTCTTGAAACCCTTTTTTAAAAAGAGTAAAGCAAGGGACTGGCTGGTTAGCTCAGTTGCTTAGTGTGGCCTTATAACACCAAGTAAAGGGTTTGGATCCCCATAATGGCCAGCTACCAAAAAACAAAACAAAACAACCCATCATGATGGTTCTTTGCTAGGTAATAGGGCAGGGTAGAAAATTCAGTCGCAACTAGACTCTTGAGAGTTTGCTATTGTGGTTATCCACAGAAACCTGTATTTTGAGGTATTTTTCAGTGAGATCATGATTCAGTTGTTTTCCACAAATCATCTTTCAGGTTGAGAAAATAAATCATCAGAAAATATTTACAGCAATCTGGAAAATTATTAATCTATTCTATCTATGGTAACTTAAAAAAAATCCTGGGTCAGACTCCCTACTGTGGTGTACTCCTAGAAAATTACCACTAATGATTTAGTAGTTGTGTGCTAGTAAAACAAGTTATATTTGTTAGTCTAAGTAAAATGAGTAGGAAGACAGGATAAATTAGATTTTGTGTCTCTATGTCCCTATTTGTCTAGTGGGGTAGAGAACAGATAGATGTTGGTGACAGATTTAAAACTCCCTTTTCCCGCTCATTATAGAATCTATTTCAAAATTTTAAGGATGACAACCTAATGATAGGTTATGGACAATGAGAGCCCTCACTTTTTTCTGATTTTTTTTTCTTTGGTCGATTACAAAGAACTGGTTGAAGGTCACAGTCTTTGTTTGGTGCCCACTTCCAAAGAGATTATACTTACCTCCAGTACCATAGGGCCATGCACCACACAACACCAATGGGTGCCAGTCACAGAACACTTGAGAATGGTACCCCTCTGGGTTGTCACTTTGGCACCCCACATGCAAAACTGTAAATGTGTGTCGAAGGCAAACATTTTCATTACCCAGAAATAAAATCCATGGTCAACATGTACTTGGTCTTTTTTTTTTTTTTTTATCAGCACTACACTCTAACCAACTGATGAGCTTGGTCTTGTGACATGCTTTGGCCAACGGAGTGTTAGCAGACATGATACAAGCAGGGCCTTAAATGTGTTGTTGTGGTTGAAGGTGGTCTCTGTGTTCATGCCTTTCACCATGAGAACACCCTTCAAGTAGTTGTTGGTCTAAAAACTTTAAATGTATTTACAGAGTGAATAAGTTACATAGATAAACTTTGAATATGTTTCTGATGTGCAACAGGCTCACATGCACACATCTAACACTTGACAGTGTTAAGTTTAAGGAGCGAACTTAAGAATGGCCCTTTACATATATATTACAAATAAAATATGACACTTATTAAGAAACAAAGTGACAACTCATATTTTACCTTTATGATTCTACTCCCAGCTATCCAAATGGATAAAGTATGCATGCGTGACAAGTGAAAAGACTTAGAATTTATAATGTAAATAATTTTTCTCTACAAAACGGCGAAGTTAATTAAAAGTAACACTCATCCTTCTGCAGTATAAATATGCTCATAAAAGCAACCTTCTAATGAAAAGCAGCCAAGATCCTTAAAAAGAGTCTCTGGACCATTTTTGGTGCAAAGAGATCTAGGGCCTTCAGAAACAGTAGCCTAGCAATGTAAGAAAGTTACTTCCTAGCAGCTCATTTAGATCAGTAATTGTATTCAAATTACAGTGTATATTAAATTGTAGTTCATTTAGTTCCCTTTTCACGTACACAGGCTGTCAGCTTTTGACCATCTTACAGTTTTCAGTGGCCAGCTTCATTCTGCCTGCCCCTTTCTCAGCTCACCAAAGAAAGGAAAAAAAGGAAAAAGGGAAAGAATGTACAAGTTTTAGAGTATAAAAAATTTTTTAGCGAAGAAAAACATTGCACTTTTGCCAATCTAAAATTGTTTCTAGAAAGGAAGGTACTATTCAGTGTAGTCGGCTTTGGTATGCAATGGAAGTCACTTCAGTAGTGAGTTGCATTTGCTCAGTAAAATAACACATTTGTGCTACACAGCATGACGGATGGAGTCTGTCCCAGGATGTTCTATGCTATCTTGGTTTTTATAGTATTGCTACATGTTGGAAGTTCTGCCATCCTCTTTAGAAAAAGTCCTGCAGGTAACAATAGGGAGAACAGTCTGACCAAGCCTTCTGAAGGCTGAGAAGACACTGAATGACATTGCCCCAGCATGGCAGCACTGCCAGCTTGGAACCGAGGGGGCATGGGGGGCTCCTGTCAGAGACTAGTGCCAGAAACACTGGAGTCTGGAAGAAAAGCCGTGAGGACTCGGTAACTCTGAGCCCTGCGAATCATGTCCCGGATCTCCATGTTCAGCTCCATCAGCTTGGTGCAGATTTCAGTTAGGCTCTGGTTAGATCCCACCAGTGCATAAGTACCTGTCTGTCCCAGAGTTTGGTGACGGAAATAAATATTCAGTAGTGTCTGGACCTCATCATCAGAACTGCTTCCAAAGATGTCATTGGGCCACAGACTTCTGTAGTCAAAAAAAGCATAAATTAGAGGGACTACATAGTAGACAGGTCTAGTCTTCATTAGTATATTACTTTAATAAAAAAAACTTTTTGAGACACAGTTCTCATACCATATAATTCACCTATCTAAAGTATACTATTAAGTTTTAGTGTATTCAGAGTTGTGCAAAGATCACCATAATCAACTTTAGAACACTGAATATTATTGTTGATAAAAATTTCAAAAGTATGAGAATGGAATCTGATACTCTTAAAAATTTATCTTATTTCCTATGGCATTCTAGTTCCAATGAATATGAATACAATAAAAAAGTAGGGGAAAAAGTCCAAAAAGGATACATTCAATTACTAGTTTTAAATTATACAGATATATACTTCAAAGTGCTTCAACATTTTAGGGATGACAAATGACCAGATCCAACTCTGGTACTTCAAACACACAAGTTCTGAAGGCTGAGTGTTTCTG